AAAGCGGAAATATCATTCTCTTGCAAAACACCTACTTTGGTAAAAAAAAAATACAAGGAAGTGTAAGTGATGGAATTTAGGGGCGTCAGTGATAACTCCTTGATAACAATCTTATTGATGAGAGGTTTAAGCGTTATCATATATTTATTTCTGGAAAATTGGGCTGTGTGCATTGCTAAAATTCCAATACAGCGAATTTTTAAGGTTGTTAAATTTTAGATTTCATAAACTGAAATATTCTTCGAAGAAATCGATGATCGCTTTGATGCGGCATGAAAGTATCTTAACTTTTTCTGATCAAATATCAAAATAATACAATAATAGTAAACTGATTAAAATAGAACTGGGATATTGCGCCAGCAGGAATTAAGATGGATTATGAAGGGAGGGGATATCGAGGAAGTTGGAGTAACTCGTTGATAAGGCTTTCGACGCCTTTTTTCTTTTCAAAGAAGCATCCGCGTTGTTCGGAGCTAAGTTCTATATAATACGGGGAATTGAACATTCTGCACAAGCAGAATGCGAGAAGTGGCAAAGAAACACATGCCATACGAGTCTCAGAGAGCAGTCAACTAATCCACGCACTGTTGGTGGATAGCAACCCCCTCCCCCTTCACCGTGAAGTGACTTTCCCTACTGTTTCTATAGAGAACAGATCGAGACAAAAGAGTCCTTTTACCAGTCTGGTTCCGGCTCTCTTTTATAATGGACTTGTACAAGATGTTTGATGATGGCTTTTTCAGCGGAATGTACGAGATGCATGATCACGAGAAAGCAGCGGAAGAGGCCACACTTGCTTCGCTTTCAACAGAGCGGTATTTAGAGCTGGCTTGTAAGTGCGCTGTTACAGTGACTGTTACAGTTCAATTTCTATTTGCCTTTGTCTGCGGTAATATATGATAATTAGTAAAAACAAAGGAAAATAATGCCCCAAGTTATGTACAAGTCAAGATTGAACAGTTCCATATTCAGACATTGAGTAAACACTCTTACGCGTGAGCAGTGTACCTCTGAGTCTTAGGTGAAATAACTGCTAAGCAGTTATACAAGGTGAAATTCCTAGGGGTAAAAATACAGCTGAATAAAAGAAATGTCGTTGGAGGGAATATTTCTTGGTATTAATTTTGTCGACGAAGACTACTAAGGCGGTGAATTGGTAAATAAAGAAAGAAATACTAAGTCTTATAGAAGTGACAATGCATTATAGAAACACTGAGATTTGCATGACCAATTTGAATGACTTAATGAAATATTTTCACTAAGGTGAAGGTGATTAGTCATTTTTACTCGGCGACCAAAAAATATACCTAGACCGAGCGTTCTACTCAAGCTATGTTCTAAGGACGCAAACTTTCCATTTAAATGTATCATAATAAAATGGAATTTTGCTTAAAATAATAGGAATCATATTTTTTCCGTACAAATATGAAAACCAAATGTCTAGTCGTGAAAAATGAAATGATGTTGATTAAAGAGATGAAACCTAGCATGTACTACGTTCGAATGTTGCTCATGGGAATCGAGGTGGCGGTTAAGTTTACAACGAGTTTTATATTAATTTTGCAAGTTCACTTTCAGTGACCTCTTCCGATATTTGTGATATACATACGTTTAAATATAACATTTAAGATAAACAGAGCTGAACAGAAGTAATACGACAATTTTACAAGATTTGATACTGGCATAACTTTCACATATTTATCATTATTTCAGGTTTCCACAGTTTTATATTCATTTATTTCTTATTTTGGTAACTTTTCTTGTGTGTGATGAACGCTAACAGACAGCAACTCTACCAAAGTCCCGGCTTAATTTGGGCTGAAGATATCCCGAGCTATTTTTTGATTCAGTGAGACACTTTTGACTTTGTCACTGAATATTCTTTTGATTTAATAAATAATTTAATAAATACACGAGAGCAAAATGCACAATTAACAATACCGTTTGTAAAACATTGGCGTTTTATGTTTAGCAATAGGCCAACATGAAAATCTCCCCATACGTTCACATGTCCACTGGGGGAGGAATGATGCACACGTATGCGCAAGAATTATTTAAAAGACTATCACTGTGATCGAATTTGTTTTATAGTTTTCTCTTTTTGTTTCAAAATCAGTTAAGTATAAATTTCTGGATTTGTATAGGTTGAAGCTCATTCGTTGTAATTTTGTTAGTTTTTAGTAACTAAAAGCACAGGTAACCCAGGCTCTGTTATAGTACCACAGTACGGTTCCAGTAAAATTACAGTGTTTGTATGGGGTAAAAATACCATCCTAAAATTTGTAGGAAATATTATATTAAATCAAGATCAATGAAAGTTACTCTGCAGTTAATTGTTGTTGTCCTTATTGCTTCAACGAAGTTTCGTGATAATTTGCAGTAATTTGTTCAAATTCACTCTATATAAAATAATAATATACAAGGTAGGAGACACGAGATGCCATTTTCGCCGACATGCTCTCATTCAACACAACTTTTTCCACGAAATTCGAACTCCAACGGAAAATAAACATATCAGGATCGTAGAAATAGGATAGCAGCAGATATAGAAACCAATGAAGCTTTCCCAGATTGAGAAACGATCGCGAATCCCACAGACTTTGACAAACTCGAAGGATATAATCCAAACAGACCGAGAATATGCTCGCCGAAGCAGCCTTGCCAAATCAACGCGCGGCCAAGAAAATGAGGCCGGGGCACTGTACAAAAAAAATCCATCCCGGGAGTCCTGAGGTGACCTGTCTGGGGACCGATACATCATTTGCCCAAAGCCACCCTACCCTGCTGAAAAAATACTTGATAGAAGGCAATTGTTCATCCTAGCCGTACCACCCTGGCCTATTATAAAGATATTATGTCATTCTCGAACTATATTCAGGGCCTGGCGCTGATCCTCAGAAAGCCTATCAAACACCAATAGGGCAAGGCTATAACGGCAAAGGCAATAACGACGAAGGAGGATTTACAAAACTTAAAACGAGCAAAAGATATAAGTGAATTTTGGCTCTCACCGCGGCATTTGTACAACAGAACCAAATTCAAAGAGCCAGTGTCACGATGGTTCACATATTTAACTGATAGAACGTCCAGTTGTATTGACAAGAAGTCGGCGTGTTACGACCGTATTAATCGATAAATATGTTAATCGTGCTAGTTCTTTGTTTACTGGTGCACGTGCCTTTCACATTCGTCTCAGTTATGTAAGCTTCACCGTTCATTTGCGGTCGTTTCGCTCGAGAGTTCACAGAAACAGTATCTCAGTCATCATCTACGTCTTGTTCAACCTCATTTAAATTTAGGCGCGTGTGCAGGGTTTGTTCTGGCGAATTGTGATTGGCTAGGAAGAACAATTGCCTTCTATCAAGCAGGGTAGGGTGGTTTTGGGCAAATGATGTATCGGTCCCCAGAAAGGTCACCTCAGAACTCCCGGGATGGAATTTTTTGTACAGTGCCCAGTTCTCATTTTCTTGGCCGCGCGTTGATCTGGCCCGGCTGCCACGGCGTTTGTCAAAGTCTGTGGGATTCGTTTCTCTATCTGGGAAAGCTTCATTGGTTTCTATATCTGCTTCTATCCTATTTCTACGATCCTGATATGTTTATTTTCCGTTGGAGTTCGAATTTCGTGGAAAAAGTTGTGTTGAATGAGAGCATGTCGGCGAAAATGGCATCTCGTGTCTCCTACCTTGTATATTATTATTTTATATAGAGTGAATTTGAACAAATTACTGCAAATTATCACGAAACTTCGTTGGAGTAATAAGGACAACAACAATTAACTGCAGATTAAGTTCTATTGATCTTCAAACACTGTAATTTTACTGGAACCGTACTGTGGTACTATCACAGAGCCTTGGTTACCTGTGACTAAAAGTATATAAATGGACGCCTCGCTTTTAGCCTTGGCTAAATCTACATATTATTATAATCTGATAGCTGCATTAAGCTTTATGATGTTAAAACTATAAGGTACATCGTATCTGAGATTGGAAATCTTGAAACAATTTAGAATAAAAGTCCGAAAAAAGAAATGATTTTCATGGGCGGGACTGGGCACTAACACAAAATGCCGCATATTTTCAAAACCAATGGCAGCATATTTAGATTAAAAAACACGCAAAAGGGATGTGCGGCACAACGTTATATGTTCGCCTTGTGCTTTCATAAGATTAAAGTTCACAACATATCTAAAAATTATATACATCGATCAGTTTGTATTAAGCAATCCTTCCTCTTGATGCAGTATGACGAAGATCCTTCACAGATTTCTTAGCTCTCCTCTAAATCTCAGTTTGTCCCAACAAGAAAACACACAAACCTTGGGTGCGGCTCGCTTCAAGCCAAGCGCTCGGTTTATTCACGTAAAGACTAAAAGATACAAGCCATATCATAGAAACGTAATATACAATTCAAGTAACATACAGCTCCAAAAAACTAGATCACAAGCTAAATTAAATTGAAATGGGGTCGTGGAACAACAGCTGGGTGAAAAACCTCCCCGTACGTCCACTTGCACCTAGGAGGAAAACCCCAGGCCAGCTGCACCCCATGAAAAAAAAAAAAACGGTCCCCCGGGCAAGACCAACTAAATAGAAACTAGAATCAATTAAAAGCGGTACGAACGGGAAAACTAAATGCCTAAAGCCTTAGAAACCGACAAACGAGAAGATAAAGAATCTTGGAAATATCAGGAACAATATCTTTAAAGGCCTCTAGCACTAACTCTCTTAACCTTGAATAGCTTAAACCTTAAGATCTAGGCTTATAACAAAATTTAGTTTTGGAAAGCTGACAAAATAAAGGGCTATCGCAGGAAAGCCCAGCTCTATCTAAATAACGGTTCCTCATAGCAACCGGACAAGTTGCTTTCCTAGAAGAAGCTACAACAATCCAAGCTCCATCTCTACACTGATCAGTTTTACTAGATTGAATAAATAACTTTAACATGTCATTTTCGATCTTAACATCGGATCGAACAAGCTTAGCAAGCTGATCAAATCTGAGAAAGGCAGCAAAAGCTAGTAAGCAAATAACAACCGAACGAATGTTATACAAAGAGGCTATTGAGTCCGCCTTGGAGGCAACTAACTGCTCTAACTGAGAGACTGTGATAGGCTCCTTCTTGGTTGTTTGATGGGCCAGCAAACGCTGCGCACCGGCAAGAGTACTCTCCACCAACGGATGATCAGAAGGAGACGGCTCGCCACCCAGCTGGTGAAACCAGGCAATGCTGTGAATTGCTGACTCCAGGGGAGATGCCGTCTTCGCCCCAGTCATTAAATGACGCAAATAAATAGCAAAATGAAATGGAGAAGAGGGAAAAACTGTCAAGCCATGTTCTCGTGCCCAAGACCTCCATCTGTTGTAAGAAGAAAAATACTTGGAGGAAGTACTGGGTGCTCTGCTAGCCAACGCAACATCCGGAAGAGAACTTGCAAGGGATAGTAAAGCACTGGATCCCTGGGGAACCGCAGCCCGAAGATCCGACCACATAGTAGAGCTGAAAACATCTGCAAAATATAAGCAAAAAGAACACACACACACCCTAAAAAGTAAAAAAACAAATAAAAATGACCCGAACGCTGGAACAGCAAGACCGAGATGAAAGACAAATCCAGCACGCCCAAATATATACCCTTACTAATTACCCACATACCAGCGCACACGCCTAAACAAACATAAGATACCGATGAGAGCATATTTTCCTGCTAATTACCAAGTCAAACGCAGGAAAATACTATTCCTCAAGGGAAAAAGCGAATTTTACTTTCCAGAGGTTCTGTAGTTCATTACTTTTCTCTTCTTCTCCGTATTTTGAAGTTTACTCAGCACTTTCCTTTCGTGGCCGGCTGGGCATTGTCTGAGTATAGTGTTCAAACTAGCTTCCCTTTTTGATCTTCCTTTGCGAGAATGGCTCACTGTTATGACTGCAGGGTCGAACTTATAATAATCATATTCGTCCAGGTAGTACCAGATGTTGTTGATACGTCGACGGCGTTGTCTGACTCCTTTCATTTCTTCACCTACTTTACCCTGGTCCCAGAGGTTTTTCTTGATTTTTCTTCGCGAAAGAGATCAAGAGCAAGCCACGAAGCGGCGACAACGAGTCGCGAAAGCGACGAGGAGAGAGAGAAAAACCTCTGGTTACCTTGGCCTCAAATCTCACTTTCATGCAGACGACAGCTGTCAAACGCGTCAAATTGCTAATGAAAAGAGTGACCAATGGCAATTTAGCAAACACGTGCTTATCAGCCGCTATTTTTTTTTAACTGGGGGTAGACTGGGGAAATTATGTTATGAACAAACGATCTCCACTTGGGTGGTAAAGAGTTATTTGTTAATCGGGGTCAAGCTAAAGCATGTGTTAACGATGGGCGACAAGAGTCCAGGAATAAGAACACCACTTTATAAAGACACCAACATTGTTCCAAACGACTGCAGCAGGATTTGCAGAATTTATGTAAAGATAAGTGGCCGATCTAAAATCAACGTTTTTTCTCCATTTCCTTTTTTTGTGGAACAACGGCGCTAGAAAGATGTCATGCAGCACAACAAACCCTTAAGGTTCGGAATGTACTTTCAGAGGTTTTTGTTGACCCAATGCCAAAAATAACGTTAGTTAGATCTTTAAAGATAAATATTGGGCGTCGCAAGAAAATGCAAGCTGCACCGAAAATGATTACGTACTTGTACAAAGTTGTATGTTTTTTTTTTCCTACAAGGAAACTTTCATACCGTATTCGGAGATTTATATTTTGCTGCCCTAAACAAGTTAGTTTATTTAATGGAATGACAGTATTGGAACAGAAAATGGTAAATACATCGAGACACGAGATTCTGGCCGTCAACGTCTGGACTGCTCAAACTGGTTGCTGAGACGCCACGGTTTCGCAGTTCGCGGATATGCGAGTCCACAAGAGACTTGAGAGGGCAGACAACCAAAATTATTGCATGGCGAGGGTATGAGTAGCCTCTTAAGGAAAGGTACTTGCAAACATCAGGTAACGACAGAAATATTATATACTTTCCATGTCCGGCTGATAAAATGGTGAACACATCCTTTCGACTCAACGCGGCGAACAAAGCTTTCTTTTGTTGCTCAGTGAGACTCAGGAAAGCGCCCATCAAGTACCGAGGTCAAAATTTTTTCGAATATTCTTTCAGGAACAACATCCATGTCAAAATCTCGAAATATGGTGTGCCTTTACGTGCCCTGATCCCGTGCAAATGTTATTGTAAGTGCAGCATACAAACAATTTTCTTCCCTGGTGGAGAGAGGCAAAATGAGGTGTGAAAATCTTTAGCGTCCCCTCGGTAGTTATAATTACCAGAGCCAATCAAACTGGTTTGCGTGTTTGAAAAAAAAACAACCAGTCAACGCTCGAGGGTCAGATCCTGACCCTGTCGTCTTCATGAAAGTGAGATTTGAGGCCAAGGCAACCGGAGGTTTTTCTCTCTCTCCTCGTCGCTTTGGCGACTCGGTGTCGCCGCTTCGCGGCTTGCTCTTGATCTCTTTCGCGAAGAAAAACCAAGAAAAACCTCTGGGACCAGGGTACACCTACTTGAGCTTTAGCGATCTTTTGAAGTGCTAAAAATTACAGTTTGCGAAATACGACCTTGTCTTACGATGTATACTTTGAATCGGTGAATAAATAACAACTTAAGTGCAGGCTGCTTTTAAATACATTTTGTAGCACGTGAAACGCCCTGTGTTATTCCACAAACATTGCACCTGTTGTAAACGAGCTTATATTTGATCGGCCGAGCAACAATCGGGTGTTTTATCTACGCCACCTGTCAATAAAAGTGAAACAAAGGAATTGCATTCCATCCATTCCCTGGGTGTGGTTCCAATACAAGCAGTAAGTTTAAAGGCGAATTGCAAATTACGGCTATTTTATTTGTGATTGTTAGATAGCTGGCTTATTGAAGAAAATATTAATGTTCACTAAATTGTTTCTAATCAATTTGATCTTAGTTCTCTTTTTTGGGCAAATTTGTCAATTTATGCTGGAAATATTGTCGGCAAGCAAGCGCTATGTATTTCTTGCTCTCTCAAATCATTGTTAATAGAGGTGACCCCTCTACTAAGAGACAGGTCATTATTTATCGCCGGGGGAGGGGGAAGGATTTGGGGCGAAACAAGGTGAAATTTAGCCGATTCCCCCTTGGAATGCTACTTCACTGAAGTGATCCCCCCTAGTAACTTCTGATTACTTTCGCGATCCCACCCACCATGTCTTCATTTTCCAAGCAAATTTGAGTGGTCCCCCTCTGAATACTTCCAAAGTTTTAAGGGATCCCCCTTTTGGGCTCTAAGTTACGACTGACCCGCCCTCCCCCCCACCCCTCCCACTTTCGTTCTCCTAAAAATCAAGTGATGATCAAGTGATCAGCCCTAAAATCCTCCCCCCCCCCCCGCCCCCACAACTCGGGCGATAAATAATGACTGGTCCCTAACTATGCTCAAATGCCTTTACAGACAGAAAAGGAGAGAAAGTGAGTAGATCAATGCGATATCTATCGCTAAGCGTCCTTAAGTATGCTGCACAATACGTATAGATCTACCGGCAGGAAACATTACATCTTGCAGATATCAAATTCCTTTTTTATGATCCCCGCTTCTCAGAAAGGCTGCAAAGTTTGTTTAAGGACTGAGAAAATATTACCCAGTCCTTATTTTTTTTCTCGTGTAATAACATTTTTTGAAAAACAAAAGCCTTTTGTTCACGTACTCGTTCTGGGTTTTTTCTGCAAGTTTTCATTTTGTTTTTTGGATGAAATACTGATGAACCCGAGGCTGAAGGTTGTTTTAAGCACCACTCACACTCCAGGTGACATAAGAAAGGAACAGACATTGTACCCCTATTTGTGCTAACAATTTGCTTGAGCTATTCGCCAGAGCCACCGAGTGCGTAAGAACCCCAGGCCTTCATATCAAGACTAAGAGTAGCATATTTATCCATTTACTGAAACACAATTCATGCTCAAGGAATAAACACTAAGGGAAGACTAAGAATTCCCAACACTTGCCACTGCCTCTTTCTGCCTCCCATCCCGCCTGGAATACCATTGCATTTCCTCATTAGGAGCGGATAACTAGGATATAATTGGGGCGTGTTGAAGAGGCCTAAGTGCTCTGGTTTGGTTCTGAGTTTTTTTGTGTTTAAATTCTTAGATTTCGGAAGGATTTTGAGGATATGAATCGATGTTATGCTATCACTGCAGTATAGCTAGCTCTATTTCTTAGCTCCGTTTCCTATCGCTATCGAATCTTAAATTGTTTCCTTTGCTACTTAAGAACAGGTTATAAATATAACCAATTTGCGCCTTTGCTAATCTACGAAAACTGAAATCTTTTTTGAGGGCCGCAGTTCCTATTTCCGCATCTAAATAAGTTTAATTTACTATTAGGGCTTTCTTGAGACGTTCGACCAGGAAGCAATCGCTGGGTTTGACAAACGGGTAATCTTCATTGCGATATCTGTTAAGGGCCATACTAGCGTCATCCCACCTCTTGTGGAACGGCTTGGTGACTCTTTTCAAATAATAATTTGACTTTTTGTCGATTTCATTGCTGAGCAAGTCTTCCAGCCTTTTGACTTCGTCAACCTTAGGCTGATTTTTTTCTCTTTCTTCGCATTCAATCTGCAGAGATGATAATAAAAAAAGTATTTGCGGTATTAATAAGGGAAATAAGCAACTAAAAATAAAGCTATTTAAAATAATAGATCAAAGTGCTTAGAATGTTCACATATATGGTGTACCTAGCCTGCGTCCCAAGCGTAATCCAACTCCGGTTAGTAACGTCTGCGAAGCAGCTAGAGCCTATTCGGACTCAACGAATTACTGCAAATGCATTTTGAATTCCCCTGACCGGCAAATCGACAACGGGATTTTTAACAGGCCAGTCATGGAGGGTACTCAAATGCTGGTATTTGAGTGGCGGCCCAGAACAAGGATTTTGGCGCTATTTCGCAGACGGACTTAACCAGAAGTTTAGTTTCGTCTGCGGAGCAGGCTAGGTAGACCTTATATCAGTATGTTTAATTTCTTTTGTTTCCTTGTGGCTATTCAATTGGAGTCCCTGTTCTAGCAAGAGTAGCCGCGTCGAAATCCACTAAAAACAAAGATTTGTATCTCTTCATGGTAAAGGTACTACTATTTTGTAGTACTGTTTAAAAAACAAGCAGTATGATCAAGCTTAAAAACTCGAGGCGAAGCCGAGTGTTTTTAAACCAGATAATGCACGACTGCGAGTTTTTTGAAGCGCCTCAAAATCTCTGATGTCGATCAACTCATTCTTGCACTAATACTGATTTAGATTTGGGATTATTTTTGTCTAAAAAATTGGACGTAAAGTTTAGCCGTGTAATTATCAGATATAAAGACACTCATTAAACATTAATTTTTAATTTGTTTTTTTTTTTAATGAAGTATTAATTAGTTTTTCGAATGCGTCACTCTACCTTAACGAAAAAAACCGGATGCAGTTGTAATTTGTAACTGAAAATAATGCCAGCTTATTTCATAGTACTTTATTCTGACCT